AAAGCTATTGATTTTTGTGTGTTGACCTTGTAACCAGCTACTTGACTGAATTTGGTTATTAAGTCTAGAAGAGTTTTGGTGGAGTTCTTGGGGTCTTCTATATAGAGTATCATGTCATCTGCAAATAATGACAATTCGATGAACTTTGTTTTCTATTCTAATTTTTTCTTTTTTTGGCAGAATAAAAAACAGGATTACTTGCAGTTCATAAGTCAAAATCTTTGATGTAAATGGCTCAGCTGAAAATAATTTTTTTGTTTAAATTTTTGAAATGAGCAATTTCAAAATTGCTGTGATTATTTTTAAACATTTCTCTGAATCCTTCTTCAAGATTAGAACTTGCTGGACTCTTACCGCCAATAAATTTGGTACCAGTCTGGATCTTGGCAACACATATATTCTATATTAAAATTGGGCAATTTGAGGATAATTTAATAAGAGACTATTTATAAAGAGTTGAACAGGATGTGAAAAAAGAAAATGCAAAGCGGAGGGCAGTGTCTTGGATTCAGTAAAATCAGATTGGGATAGTTGCTTTTCATTAGTCTCATTAAACTCATTGATTCTCCTGCTGAAAGATTAGGCACTAAAAAGCTGTTATAGGGAGGTACTAATGAGGTAAAATCTTTTATCCATTTAAGATTAGTCCTGTTCTAACTAGGTTTCCATATCTAGCACTTCTCATTTTGCCTGCAAGTTTTGTACCTGATTAAGTTAAAAAGAACTCCCTTATATTTTTCAGAATATGCTTCTTTCTCTTTGCTTTGTAGCTGGACTTGATTTTTCAAAATGCTTTTTCCCTGGTGCTAATGCCACTAGTATATATACCATCATTCACTCAGCTCTAGTAGAGTTTAATGCAGTTAATTGGGGGGCTCTGATTTAACACTGTCATTGAACTCAGGTCCTTCACACTGAGGTACATCCCCTTTTTATTTTTTTTAATGATTATTAGTATATATTTGATGTACCAATGATTACATTCATTGTGAGGAGTTCATCCATGTACTTGACACATCATAATTCTTTTTACTTCCCCTTGCTCTCCCTTTCTTTCCCTTCCCTCCATTTCTAGTTCCCCTTTCCTTTGCAGAGGCTTTGTCTCCCTATTTTGTACTACAAATCTATCCTTTATTTTGCTCTTTAAATTATTTATTCCTTGAGTTTCTTTCATAAAAGGAACCATGCAATGTATATTTTTTTTAACCAGTGAGACTTCTTATTCATTGTATTTTCCTGGGGAAAGGAGAAGGGAAGGAAGTCAGCACTTGTGTTACAAAATGATTAGAAAATAGGAAAGGAAGTTAGTGTACAGGGGTACAGCAAAATCAACCATCAAATAGACACTCTGGTGATGGGGTCACCAAAGCCCAAGGGGGCTTGGTCCTGGGAAGTTCAGGAATGGCGTGAAGGATTCAGGGAAAGGACAGGTACATACTTTCCCACCCTCCCCCCTCCATCCCTCTCCATAAATTCAAGATTTCACACAAAGCTTTGGTTTCTAGCAGTAAACATGCAGTTACATTCGTCTGTCTCCAGTTAAACAATCTTGAGGCCACTTTGACATAAGTTTCTTGCACCTGCATAAAAGTTCCTGAATGACTTGAATATACATTCATACTCCCTTTCCTGGTCTCCTGACCCCACTTTCACATAGAAGGTCCCCAGGCCCCCACTTCCTTTTCTCGAGGATTACAAACTCAGTAGGTTTGATCCATCCAGACAGCAGGTGCTTGGCATGAATTGTATCAAATAACCGTCTTGACTCAGGAGGTTAGGAACAAGGGGTAGAGGCTCCTTGCTCCTTCAAGGTTTCTGCATAAGTCTCTTAAGAGTTGCACAGGTACTCCAAGAATTAAATATGTATGTGTGTGGGTGTGTAGGTTTTCTTTAGGGGAGAGAAAAAGGTAGGAGTCAAGTTTTTAGGACAGATTTGGTCCCAAATAGGAAACAAGGAAAAGGGGACTACAAAAGAAAAGATGGTTCACGATCCCCACTTCAAAAAGAGCCTCCCCAAACTTATTTTTCAGATCCTTTTGCCTGGTGCAGAACCTTCTGTCAAAGATGCTTTGGCTATTTTTCTCTCAATACAAAAAAAGTTTGTAAAGAAACCCCCAAAGAACATGGAGAAAAGACCAACACATTATATTTACACAAACTAGGCCACCTAGCAATCACCAACTCAGAGACTCAGTAAAGTCCTACAAAGCCCAGACAAATATAATAATTAAGAGGAGGGCAGCATTTGAGGGAGACAAGAAACCAGGATCAGACACACACTACCCAATGCGTTCTATTGCATTTGTCCTGTCTCAACACAGTGAG